AATCGAGTCTCGAGCGAAGGATGTGGCAGTGGAGGTTGAATACCAGCAGCAGAAGCAGCAGACGATGTCGTTGGAGCAGGAGCAGTACCATTAGGAGCATTGGACTGAGAGATAGTAGCGTCCTTGAGAAGCTTCTTCCACGATACAATTGTGGTTTCTCCCGGCCGGAGCTCTACCGTGAACCTCCGCCGGCCGGCCGCAGCCTCATACGACGTCGACGTCCTCCCTACTACCGATTCTCCGCCACTACCGCCGCCCTCCATTGGAGATCGTATTTAATATTGGATGGAAATTAGGGTTCCGACGTATGAGATTTGGGGAGAGGAAGACATGGAAAAGAGAGGGAAACACTGATTCGAAACCCTAAAGACGGAAAAATACGGTAACGAATTGAAGAGAACTTTTTTGGAATTGGATTTTCTTTTAATTCCTTTTGCAGTTGCTTCTGTTTTGCTCTTTTTTAGTCTCGTCTTTGATTTCACGTGCAACTGCCGTCTGTTTGTCTCTCATTTGACGCTTGGTCAACTCTTTTTTTCATCAAAAAATGAAAAAATCTTTTTTCTTTTTCTTTTATGTTCTCTATTTTTTAGAAAATCTTTTTCTTTTATTATTATATAATCCCCTATTTCAATTTATGTGATGATATTTTCTTTTTAGTCTGTACCAAAAAAATATATATTTTCTTATTTGAAAATAATTTACCTTTATGCATGAGCATTAACTAGGGAGTAAAATAAAATACAGCATTTGTCCGGAATACAAATTAGACAGGAAAGATATAAATAACTCTGATGGAGACTCTGCTGGCTGCAAATCGTAATATAGAATGTAACTCGCCTAAGCCCCCATTAACTACACCTCTGCGCCCACAAAGACACTAGACATATATGTACATGCACAAAAATGTGCAGCAAGTGTAGTATGAGTACGTAAATCAACGCGTACCCAGTAAGTATCCAGTCTAACCTCGAAGAAATAGTGACGAGGGGTCGACTCCGACACTTATTATGGGCTAACAATAAGATACCGATATTATAATTAAGCATGAATTGTATAAAACAGTTGAAAACCCAATAAACAAGAGGTAGGTAAACAATTCCTTTAATAATAGGAAGTTTCCAAATTTATTTTTCGTAATTTAACAATTTATATCTCGAGCCAATGAAGCAATATCAATTATTATTAGTTCCAAAGATTTATCATGCGCAAATCACACCGAGGTCGTACGGCCCGATCCAACATAATATTTAAACAGTGCACTGCCGAGGGTCGAACGGCACGAACCATAGATGCATCTATCTGCTATCGAGGCGTTCGGTCCGCTCCACAAAAGAGAAAATACATTTACAATAACCAATTCAAGATTTATTAAGGGGCAATTATTCAAGGGAATACCAAATTCTTATTAACGGTCAAGAAAATAAAGTTTAACCTTTTTACAATTCCTTTATCAAGTTTCAATATGATTTAAGCAAATAAATTAACAAGTAGGGTACAACATTGTAAGTATAGCATGGTATAGGTCCTAGACTACCCGAACAATAGCATAATTAGCAGTTACGTACGAACTCTCATCACATCGTGCGTACGTAGCCCCCATAAATAGAAGCACATTTTAATTCAATTCACCTATGGGGTTAATTCTGTCTTACAAGGTTAGAAAATAGACTTACCTCGCTCCGAAATCCCATAACCGGTTCCAAAGCCTTTCCAACAGCTCAAAACGATGCTCATCGCTCCAAAACTAGTCAATAAATGTGCAAACCTATAAATATATACTCTAATACTCATTATAATCCAATTTACAGCAATTCCCAACTCCGCTCGAAAAGTCGATAAAAATCACCCTTGGGTCTACGTGCCCGAATTCCAAAAAAATTCGAAGATAAACATTAGCCATAGCCTCACGAACTCAAATATATAGATTATTCTCAATTTCATGCCCAAATTCGTGGTCAAAATTCAAAAATACCAAATTCTAGGTTTTCCACCAAAACCCCAAATTTTTACAAATTTTCATGAATTTCCATGTTAAAATCTATGTATAATCCAAGTATTTAACTCAAAATACACGGGAATCACTAACCTCTTTGATGTTGATGGAACCCCTCTCAAGATGCTCTAAACAATCGCCTAAGTTCAAGTGGAAAATGAGGGAAATGACCTAAGTCCCGAAATAAAAGCCCTTGCTCCAGTCGCAGACGTCGCATTTGCGACATCTGGTTCGCAAATGTGATAGTCGCAATTGCGACAAAAGCATCGCAAATGCGAAGGAGAGCCACCCCTGCCAAGGTCGCATTTGCGACCAAAATCTTCGCAAATGCGAAGAGGGCAGATTCGCAAAAGCGATAAAATATTCACAAATGCGAACCCCTTAGTAATTTTCCCACCCTCGCAAATGCAAACTCCATCCTCGCAAATGCGATCAAAACCTCGCATTTGCGAGACCTGCAGCCCAAACCCAGAAACCAGCAGAACCATTAAGAACTTTTCATCCAAAAATTGATCCGAAACCGTCCTGGAACACACCCGACGCCCCCGGGACCCCGTCCAATCACATCAACATGTCCCAAAATATGACACGAACTTCCTCGAGGCCTCAAATCATGTCAAACAACGTCGAAATCACGAGTCACACCCCAATTCGATCTTAATGAACTTTAGAACTTCAAACTTCTACCTTCGATGCTGAAACCTATCAAATCACGTCCGATTGACCTCAAATTTTGCACACAAGTCACATTTGACATTACAAACCTACTCCAACTTCCGGAATCGGAATCTGACCCAGATATCAAAAAGTCCACTCTGGGTCAAACTTCTCAAAATCATCCAAAATTCCAACTCTCGCCAATTGACGCCGAAATGACCTACAGACCTCCAAATCAAAGCTCGGACACGCACCTAAGACAAAAATTACCATACGGAGCTATTCCCAGGCTCATAATCCTAAACGGACATCGATAACATTGAAATACACTTCAACCTAAATTTATGAAATCCTTCCAAAATGCCAACTTTCCACAATAAGCGCCGAAACGCTCCCGGGTCATCCAAAAACCGATCCGGACATACGCCCAAATCCAAAATTATTATACTAACCTATTGGAACCTTCAAATCCCGATTCCGAGGCCATTTACTCAAAAGTCAAACATTAGTCAATTCCTCCAGCATAAAGCTTTCGAATTTAGAATTTTCTTTCCAAATCGACTCCGAACTTCCCAAAACTCAATTCCGACCACACGTACAAGTCATAATTCCTAAAGCGAAGCTGCTTATGGCCTCAAACCGCCGAACGACGCGCTAGAGCTCAAAACGACCGGTCGGGGCGTTACATTCTCTCCCATTTAAACATATGTTCGTCCTCGAACGTGCTAAGAAATGTTCTGGAGTTATCTGAAATCACCGTTTAGCACCTCGTGCACATACCTGTGCTACCATAACTCAGTTGAGCACATTAGCTCGAGCCAATCTGAAGATCTTCCCCTTTATTTAGTCAAGTAAGCCTTAGAGTCAAATTCCAACATCCGGAATTCTCCACCAGGCATGTTTCCAACATACGAACGCCGTATCAATCACTACACACTGCACCCAACACGATTGCATACCCTTACTGAATTCTTACCGTGCACCGCGTAACTCATTTGCCCAAGGCAATCTTTCCAAAGCAAACATCTAAAATTTCCACTGACCCGAAGCCCGTAGTGTGCCTCATGACCAATTAAGCCTTGCTTTAACTCTCGCAATACTGCCACGACAGAGAAGATGTTTAGAACCCATAACCACCTGCCGAATCACAATTTATGGAGTCTCTCCCCCCGACAAGAATCATTACCTCATTCTGGACTGAATAACAATATTTACTCTTTAATATGCCTTATATAAATTTGATCGCACTGATCCCATGTCCAATAATCTCGTTTCACCCAGTACAAGCTAATCAAGCAATAAGCCACCTCAGATACTGCAAAAACCTCATATGATGCCACATTGTGCTAACAAGCTACAAACTCGAATGTGATACATAAGGAAAACGAACTCTGGAATGAACTACTCAACCCACGTAACTAATATAATAACCGAAAAGATGTTATGAACCTTCCTCAGAAATAAGACACAAAACACACAAGAATAACTATGGGAAACTGTACTCAACGTCACACTATTGCGACGTACAACCCAGTCCACACATGATACCGTTGCGGCATGCAACCTGATCCACACATAATAATCTAAAGAAAACACACATCGAGTCATAACTCTTATACTCACAAAATGCTCGAATATCAACCATAAGCACGCCAAGTGCATACTACAAATCCTGGGGAGACGGGTAGCGTCATACACTATAAAACTCAAGCACAACTAAGGTGCGATATATGATCTGCATCTCGAGAGCCATCCTGCTCACATAACACCACTGCTACGTGGGACCTCAACACATTGTACAAATAATCAAGTCGTCTCACGACCCACATGGCACAATAGAGTATTACATGAAATAGTTGGCGACAAAATTAACATCCCACGCCCGAATACTCTTCCATTAGGAATGT